GGCAACCAAGAGGCCAAGGACACACCTGGGGGGGTCTGACCTATGGCCGAGGTCGTGGCCGAGGCCGTGGCCGAGGAGATAATAGAGCTGAGCAACAAGCTGGTCCCAATAAACAAAACTGGAGAGGAAGAGGCAGAGGATATGCAAGGGAAGATCGGGCCAAACAAACTGATGTAGAATGCTACAATTGTGGGGAAATAGGCCATTTTTCCAGGGACTGTTGGTTTAACCAAAGAGAAGAAGTAAATCTTGCTGAACAAACAGTCGAGGATGACGAAGAAAGGGTCCTGCTAATGGCAGAAAAGGATTCCACACCAAGACATGAAAATTTCTGGTATCTAGACACTGGAGCGAGTAACCATATGACAGGATTCAAGCATCTCTTCACCGAGATGAAAGAACTTAGAGGAGAAGTTTCATTTGGAGACGCTTCAACAGTACAAGTAAAGGGCCGTGGGAAGGTTTGTTTCACACAAAGCAATGGACAAGCGGGAACCATTGATGATGTTTATTATGTTCCTAGCATGAAGAGTAACATAATAAGCATGGGTCAATTATTGGAGAAAGGATACACTGTGGGAATGAAAGGCAAGTTTATGGACCTAAAAGACAAGAACGGTCGATCTATTGCTCGAGTTGAAATGACAAAGAATAGGATGTTCAAGCTTGATCTGAGGAGTCTGAAGCACCAGTGTTTGAAGGTTGATCTAATAGATAAGTCAGCACTCTGGCATATGAGATTCGGGCACCTGAACTATGGAAGTCTTAGAGAATTAGTGAAAAAAGACATGGTCCATGGGCTACCTGAGATGGATTTCAAGAAGAGCTTCTGTGAAGGATGTGTACTTGGGAAGCACGCGAGGAAACCATTTCCAAAAAGTGCTGAGTATCATGCAAAGAAGCACTTAGAAATGATCCATACTGACATATGTGGACCAATCACGCCCTCATCTCACAGTGGGAGACGATATTATATCACTTTTATTGATGATTTTACAAGGAAAACTTGGGTATACTTCTTGAAAGAGAAATCAGAAGCACTCAAAACTTTCATAGATTTCAAGAATGAAGTGGAAAGAACTACTGGAGAGAAGATTCAAGCATTGAGGTCAGACCGAGGAGGTGAATATATGTCCACCTTGTTCAGAGACTATTGCAAGGAAGAGGGAATCCGAAGGTTTCTAACTGCTCCCTATTCGCCCCAACATAATGGGGTGGCTGAGCGAAAGAACAGGAGCATCCTGGATACGGTCCGATCAATGTTAAGGAGCAAAAGCATGCCTAAGGAATTTTGGGCAGAGGCTGTGCGATGGGCTGTTTATGTACAAAACAGATGCCCTCATGCAAAATTGGAGAATAAAACCCCTCAAGAAGTTTGGAGCGGTCATAAGCCAACTGTCGCACATTTTAAAATTTTCGGCAGTGTGGCTTATGCACACGTACCTGATCAAAGGAGAACTAAGTTGGATGACAAAAGCAGGAAGTTAATTCTGATTGGATATGATGAAAAGACAAAGGGCTATATGTTATTTGATCCAGTTGGAGGAAAAGTGGTGGTTAGCCGAGATGTCCAAGTGAATGAGGAGAGCGCATGGAACTGGGAGACACAGGCTGAGCTGGAACTAGAAGAAGAAAAATCTGAGGGATTAGTTCCAATACCGATTATCCCATAGATAGAGCCAACCACAAAAACTGTTGAAGAAGAGGAGGATGATAGTCCCAACCGACCTCAAAAGTACCGGAGTATACAAGAACTGTATGAGACATTTCCTGAAGCTCATATGGTATGCTTGCTAGCTGATGCTGAGCAAATCTCATATAATGAAGCTGTCCATGATGAGAAATGGCAGAAGGCGATGAATGACGAGATAAATTCCATAGAACGGAATAATACTTGGGAGTGGGCTGACTTGCCAAAGGGCCATAGAGCAATTGGAGTGAAGTGGGTGTTTAAAAGGAAAATGAATGCTGAAGGAAAAGTCGAGCGACACAAAGCTCGGCTTGTTGCAAAAGGATATAAGCAAAGGGTCGGGGTCGACTATGATGAAGTGTTTGCACCAGTCGCTCGGATGGACACTATAAGATTATTGATCTCTCTTGCAGCCCAATACAATTGGCAAATCCATCAGATGGATGTGAAGTCCGCCTTCCTCAATGGTGTACTTGAGGAGGAAGTTTACATTGAGCAGCCACCAGGGTATAAGGTCGTCGGACAAGAGAAGAAAGTTCTGAAGCTAAAGAAAGCATTATACGGACTCAAGCAAGCCCCAAGGGCATGGAATACTCGGATTGATTCTTATTTCAAAAGGAATGGGTTCGAACAATGTCCATATGAACATGCACTCTATCTAAGGAAGGAGAGGAACAAGGTCCTGTTTGTGGCACTTTATGTGGATGATCTAAAATGACATAAAGATGATTGAAAATTTCAAGAAGACAATGACCAAAGAGTTTGAGATGACTGACCTAGGGCTGATTAGTTATTTTCTTGGCCTTGAGGTAAAGCAAAGTAAGGATGGAATTTTCATTTCACAGGAAGCCTATGCAAAAGAAATCTTAAAGAAATTCAAGATGGAAACTTGTAACCCGGTTGGAACTCCAATAGAGCCCGGGTTAAAGCTTTCAAAATTTGAGGGAGGAGATCGAATTGATGCTGGGATGTACAGAAGTTTGGTTGGATGTCTGAGATATCTCACTTGCACAAGACCAGATTTAGCCTATAGTGTTGGGGTGGTGAGCAAATTCATGAAGGATCCCTGTTATTCACACTGGAAGGCGATGAAAAGAATTCTCAGGTATGTTCAAGGCACAAAACAACTTGGTCTCTATTACACGAAAAGTGATGAATACAGGTTGAAAGGCTATTCAGACAGTGACTGGTGTGGAGACATAGACGACAGAAAAAGCACGACTGGATATGTATTTTACATGGGGAAAACTGCGTTCACATGGCTCTCAAAGAAACAACCTATTGTTACATTATCAAGTTGTGAGGCAGAATATGTAGCAGTCTCGTACAGCTCACGACATGCTATTTGGCTGAGGAGAATACTCGCCGAGCTGGAGTTAAAACAAACAGAGCCAACAAGAATTTTTGTTGATAACAGGTCTGCCATCGAGCTAGCCAAAAACCCTGTACACCACGAAAGAAGCAAACATATAGATGTCCGTTATCACTTCATACGAGAACAAGTGAAGAAGAAGGAAATTGAGCTTATGCATGTTGCGAGTCGAGATCAAGCAGCGGATATATTCACAAAGGCTTTGCCGACGGTCCTATTTGAGAATTGCAAGGAGCTGATTGGCATGAAGAGCAGGAAAAATATTTGAACTTAAGGGAGGAATTTGTAGGAATAAGTTCAAATAATTAATACTTAATATTTAGGAAATCCAAAGGGTGGATGATTATTGATCTTAGTCATATGAAGAGTTTTTTTTGTAGGAGCCTATAAAAGGCCCCGGTTGTAATCAGTTTATTGTTGGACTTAAAAATAAGAATACAAAAAGGCCTCCTCCTCATCTTCTCTAGTGTTTTACTTCCTCTCTGTACATCCTTGAAATTCTTAACAAATAATACAAGACTCATACAGGAATCAAAATCTGGCCGCATTAAAAAATCATTAATGGATCGAAAAAACGCATTTCATGGCCATTAATAAAGGCCTTTTTTTAGCAATATTACTATTAGAAAACGGTTTGGCAAATAAGTGACTAGCCTTTTAAAAGCCCTAATATATGACTAAAAGCAGTTACCGGCGACCGAAATCACAGGCGTTAAAAATAAATGTCCTGAGATTGTTTCAAGGAAAGAATCACATTAATGATAAAATAGCATATATCCGTATAGTAACTGATTTCCTCAATTTTAGGATGGTGAAATTCAATGATAGCATCATTGAATTTCTTAGGTTTTTTGTTTTGTTTTGAGCAACAGACTTTTGGAGAAATAATGTTACGAATTGGAGTGTTACGAAAGTTTTGAACATTTTTTAACGTCTTAGTGATTATGAATAAAGATTAGTATGTTTGTTGATGAGTATATTTTTGTTTATTCATGACAACCAACTGACTACAAACTTTGTGCTTATGTTATATGTAGGCTATGGGCATGTTTGGCACAACTATCTGAAAAGATACTTTTGTGAGCTTTTTAGTAACTGTTAGCTTTTAGTGACTGAAAAGATCTTAAAAAGAAAAGGTGATAGCTGTTTGGTAAAAAGCTGACTGTTTGATTTAGTTCGGTTTGGTGTACAAGCTATTAGGACTAATTAATACTAAAAGTCACGAGCTTTTCTCAGATGCTACACCCGGTAGCATCTCAAAAAAGATCATTTAATTTTTGAAAAGCTCTTAAAAAATGTCATGCCAAACATACAACTAGAGTCTTTTAAGGTCTTTTTAAATAAAAGAGAAGCTAGAAGGCAGAGGCTTTTGTGTGCCAAACATGGCCTATGTTTGGTACAATTAGCTGAAAAGATCTTTTTGTGAGCTTTTTAGTAACTGTTAGCTTTTAATGACTGAAAAAATCTTAAAAGTAAAAGGTGGTAGCTGTTTGGTAAAAAGCTGACTGTTTGATTTAGTTCTGTTTGGCATACAAGCTGTTAGGATTTATTAAAGTTAAAAGTCACAGACTTTTCTCAGATGCTACTACCTGTAGCATCTCAAAAAAGAGCTTTTATTTTTTGAAAAGCTCTTAAAAATTGGCGTGCCAAACAAACAACTAACAATTTTTAGAGACTTTTTAAATAGTACAAAAGCCAAAAGCTATAGACTTATGTCAGCCAAACATAGCCGTAGTCATGATATGTGGTTTCTAGTTATGTGGGGATTTTTCCCCAGAAAGGCAGTTTACATAAGTAGGCGAGGAAAGCATGATTTCGTTTAACTAGTGACGTTTGAGAAGGTATTTGCAGTGGAGTAGTGGTTATTATAAGTTTTTAGGGAAAATTTTACAAATAGGACCTTAAGTCCCCACATTTCCAAAAACAAGACCACCGAAACTTGTAAGACCTAAATTAGGATAGATTGACAAAATTAACCCCAATTAAAAGCCACAGACAACCGGCCGATCCACGTGCCATCTTTCACCTGTTCCCAAAAAAACTACTCCGTATCTCCTACCCAAACCTTTCCGAAAATCATTTAAAACAAAAGCTTCTTCTCCAACGGTTAATTTCAATCGAGCTTTGAAGACGATAAAACAGTCGAGCTTTGAGCGTAATTGAGGTAGAGCAAAGTGAAGAGCAAAGTGAAGAGCACAGACGAATAACAAGTATGGCGAAGCGAAAGAAGAGGTCAGACGACGGAAATGAAGACAAACAATTAACCGATAATGAAGTTTCAGACAGTGATTTTGAGACGAAGGAGAAGAAGGAAACAACCAATGAAAAACAAACGAAGAAGGAGCAAGACAAAGAAGAGGTTCTTCCATCTGGCAAGGTATTTTCTGTACTTACTCTTTTGTCTAATTTTTATTTTTTTTGAGAAATTGAAATAATGACTACAATAGAAACCGAATATGCAATTTCGTTTACTTTATGATGTTTGAATTGTAATTACTGACTTCAAATTACTATCAGAAATTCATTACTGACTTGCAATAAGAATGACGTTTTCATGTATTCTTCATTGTGATTTCATACTCTCAGTCTGTTTTGTATGTTTGCAACGGAATTATTGACTTGAAATTAAAATCACAATGCATTATTAACTTGGATTTGATTTTGGTTTTCATTGTCATTGTCATATTTTATACTGTCATACAGTTTAGTATGTTTGAGATGGAATTATTGACTTCAAATTAAAATAAGAAATGCATTACTGAATTGGAATTTGAATGTGCTTTTCATATATTATTCATTGACATCTTTATACTCTCAGTCAGTTTAATCAGAATGCTTTATGGACTGGAGTTTGGTTGTGGTTTTGAGTAGTGTTCATTGTCATGTTTATACTCTCGATTAGTTTAATAGGTTTGAGATGGAATTATTGACTTGAAATTAGAATCAGATTGCATTACTGACTTGGAATTTGTTTTTGGTTTTCATATTGTGTTCATTGTCATGTTTATACTCTCAGTCAGTTTAAGAGGTTTGAGACGGAATGATTGAATTGAAATTACAATCAGATTGCATTACTGACTTGGAATTTGATTGTGGTTTTCATATATCATTCATTATCATCTTTATATTCATTATCATATATTACAAACAATGTATCTTATTTATTATTGAATTTGTGTATATATCAGGTCATTGTAAGATCATGTACAAGAGGACTGCTTGACAATAAAAAAGAATTAAAGGTTAACTGTTTCGCAAATGTGCACAATGGCATGGAAAAAATAAATAAATTGCTAAATCAGGACCAACTTCAGACATTCAGAAACACAACATTTGGAAAAATGATAGACATTGGAAATGTGCAATGGATGACCGGTCAGCTGCTCATTCTAATTGTAGAAAATCATGTGAAAAAGCTGGACGGTAAAGTGTATAGAGACAGGTTCATTTTCAACATTGGTGACAGATTGGTCTACTTCTACAAAAGAGAGTTTGCTTTAATAACTGGATTCAAGATGGGAGGCGAAAAACCTGTGATTTCTACAGAGACAAAAGGTGACATATGGAAAAGGTTTTTTAACTCAAGGGATAATGTATCAAGGAAATACATTAAGAGAGCTTTTGAAGAGTTTGATAATATATTGGTGGATAAACAACCTTTAGATAAGGTAAAGTTGGCGGTTCTGAATATAATTTCTAACTTCTTAATTGGGAACCAGCCAAGTGTGAAATGTCCTGAGAAGTACATAAATATGGTAGATAATCTGGATTTGGTGAATGAATATCCATGGGGAGATGAAATCTGGGAAGATTTGCTTGAAAAGGTACCTAAGTGGAGTCACAACATTACAAACTCAAAGAATGATAGGTATGGATTTCCAGGATTTAGCTTTGCATTGCAAATATGGGCGTTTGAGAGTTTCCCAGCGCTTAGGAGGACAAATGTGTGCAGCATTGAAGAAGACAGAAAAGGAATGTGGCCAAGATTTCTGAAATGGTCAATTCCTAAAAAAACTTGTTGTGCAACACTTGCTGACAACATATTTGACAACAAACAGGTATTTGTTTTTAAATTAATCCGCTGCTACATAATTATATCAATTTATTGACTCAGAATTTTTTATTGTCTAATTTACGCTATAACATTTATATAAAAATTCTTTCATGCAGTTTGAATTTAAAAAAATGTGCCCAACAGAGGTGGAGCTTCAAAATCCCATGATAAAGGCATTTTATGCAGAAAAAATGCCTAACCCTGTGATGAAAAAGAGTCGTCTCTCTTTGGTAGGAAAGAGGAAAGAGAATCCTGTCAAGGCAGATGAAACAGAAATTACAAAAGATGGGAGGACTGATGAAGCAAAGCATGTGCAATTTGAAGCTGAAAGAAATCAAGTCATCAGTGATCAAGGACATGAAGACATGCAGCACCAAAACTCTGAGCATGCAGGTCACAGTGGAATCAACAACTTAAACCGCATGTTTAAGAGAAGAAAGGGGGTTGGAAATGAACTTAGAGAAAGCACCATACTACGTAACTTAATGGCTGCGGTGGTGCTCCAATCAAAGAAGACACAGAAGCTTGAGAAAAGATTGGAAAAGCTTGAGGATGGAATGAAGAAGCTTCTAAATGGGCAAAGGGAGCAATCTGAAATGTTGAGATCACTTCTTAGGAAGATTGATGAATCTGAAGAAGATGACAGCGACAAAAGGGGGCTGGACTTAGACAATGATCTTCATGCGGAGGAAGAAAACAAAATGGGAAAGAAGCTGTCTCCTAAAAATAAAGCTAATGATTATTCTATTGCTGTATGTGCTACGCCAAGTTTTGATCTCCATCTTGATGACACACAGGACATGAAAGAAACTGAGGGAGTAAGAGAAGAGGATGAAGAACAACAAGCTGGTAGTGATGGTTCCAGTCAACTTGATAAACAGATTGATACTAATGATGCAGAGCCCATCTGTGCTCAAAATCAAGACGTTTTGATTGGTGAAGAAGCTGAGGCGCCAACTCAAACAAGCATCAACAGTGAGGAGCTACAAATGCATGTCAATACAGTCCTTTCGGATGTCATTAAAGATCTGAAGAAAACAGAGGAGATAATAGAAGAAGAGGTAATGTCTTAAGTGTAGATGGTCTTGTACTGATTGTTACTTTAATGTCTACTTAATGACTACATTTAAGCAATTATTATCTACTTTTTAATAGAAATATTCTGATTGCAGGAAGAGCAGATGGTGGTAGATAGACAGAATGAGAGTGGTAATGATCAGTTCCAAATAAAGGATGTTCTCATAGATGACAAAAAGGTATGAATTTATTTATAGGCATATTACTATGGAAAAACAGAAATAAGAAGAAAAAAATGTGATTAAGCCTAAACGAATTCTAATAATGATGTTTTACACCAGTTACTTATACAGGTACAAGAGAAAACAAGAGTCCTTGAAGAGGAGGGAGATGAGCTGACACGACCAAGGAGAAATGTTAGAAGTCCTGAAAGATACACACCCAATCCAACAACTGAAATGAAGAAGAAGAAAATGCAGAAGGCAATGAAGAAAAGAGAAAAAGCAGAGAGTGACACATGTCTAGTACAAGGACCATTTACAGAAGATCCAAAAGAGAAGCCTTGTATGGAGGATGTGCACAAAGTGAAGATTTATTTAGCAGAGGGGCTGCTAAAGAAGCACTCCAGTAATGTCCAAAAGAAGTACAAAAAGAAGGACGAAGAGCTAGTGTCATGCCCATTCGGATTGCAGCTGGACAACTTCATTATAAGATCAAAAACATGGATTTATGACCTCTACACCAATCCCAATTGGTTGACCGATACAGTAAGTCCAAATTATATACATGCATATAAATATATTGTCTGAAAACACTACAAAACAATCGAAACCAATTTTATATTTTGTATTTCAGCACATGGGAGTAGCATTTTTCTACCTAGGCGTGAAGAGGAAGCAATTTAATCTGAAGCAGAAGTTTGCCACAGCAGATCCTTTATTAATTGGCCTGATAAAGACGAAAGCCGAACTGTTGGAAAATGAAAACACAACACTGACAGAGGCGGCATACAATGGCACAATCATGAATAACATCTTGGGTACTAGCCAAGTAAACATGATGCCATGGGCAGATGCTGATTATGTATACATACCACTTAATACAGCAATGCATTGGGTTCTATTGGTTTTAGAAATCAATGAAAAGCGTATCCGGGTTTACGACTCAATGAAAAGAAGAGGGGATACAGTGTCTAGCATAAGGTCATATACCAAATGCTTAGAGACTTTCTTGCCGAAGGTCATGGAGAGATTAGGAGTGTACGACAAACGTCAACAAGCAGCAATTGGAAAGGGAAAATTAAAGATTGAAATGGTGCGCAACTGTCCACAGCAGGAAGATGGGTATGTACAGTGTATAAATATCATATATAGCTATATATACATTAGCATAAAAATATTTATTTATGTTGATCTTGCAGGGGGAACTGCGGGATGTTTGTGATCAAGTTTGCTGAGTTCTTAATGCTTGATCGAGAGGTTACTGAGGTTTCAAATGAGGACATGGAGATGTATCCAGAAAAGATGACAACGGAACTACTTTTGTATGCATCAACAAAAAAGTAGATTTAGTAAATGGTTCTTGATATATGTATCGTAAACAAAGCACATTTATGCTCTTTAATATGTACTTTAATGCATCTAATTCATATTTGGATGTATTTAGTTAAACTGCATTTATGCAAGCAATCATATTATAAAAGATGCATATTAATGTCTATTTTATGTCACTGTGCAGACACTAAATTACGTTTAATGCCTTGTATTTTTGTTTCACATGTCCAAATCCAAATACGTAGATTTAGGAATTAATACCATGTCTTTTATAGTCAAATTGTTTAAAGAGGGAGAATGTGAGCTCAGAAATCATCCGAAGAAGGCAAAATGTGAGCCTAACCTCGACCTCCCCCCGAGATTGGAAAACATCAACCTCAGATTTCAACTAAACTTGACGAACACTGAGCCAGACCTCGAGGTCGCTAAGACCCCCGAGCTCGGTCAAACATCGAGGCCGGTCGAAACTTTGACCCTTGTGGTTTGTGTGAGGTCAAACCAAGTAGGCGAAAATTTTAAACACAAAAGTCAATATTGTATATTCAAAGTGGGTTCTCACCTTAAGAGCCCGAGCTTTGCCGAGCCCGGGGTCAGTATTCTATTAGACTTTGTTTAAGATTTCAATTTCGAGAGAAAGACTTGTGTCCTCTCCCACCTCTGTAGACAGTAATTATATTAGGCGTCTTTGAGAAACGTCCACAGGCAGCAATTGGAAAGGGGAAGTTCAAGATTGAAATGGTGCAAAACAGTCCACAACAACAGGATGAGTAAGTATATCATAAATTGTAACTGCAATTCATTATAAATGTAGAAAGTCATATAGAAATTAATATGTTGTCATGGTGCAGGTGGAATTGCGGGATGTTTGTGATAAAAATTGCAGAGTTTTTAATGCTTGATAGGGAAGCAAGTGAGGTTTCAAATGATGACATGGGGATGTACCGAGAAAAGATGACAACAGAACTACTTTTGTATGCATCAAAGGAAGAATAGATTTAGTAAATGGTTTTTGTGATATGTATCGTAAACATAACAAATTTGTGTTGGTTACTATGTACTTCAAGGCCCCTGATTCATGTTTGGTTGTATTAAGCCTTTAAACTGCACTTATATATAAAAACCCATATTAATGTCTGTTTTGTGCCAATATATGTAGACATTAAATGACAACGTCTTTTTGTTGCTTGAGTTTCAAGTCAAAACACGAATATGTAGATTTAGGAATGCATACTATGTATTTTATAATAATTTTTTTAAATATGGAGTATTAAAAGTACTTAATTAACAAAGCAAGATTTTAGGTATACCATATAAACGTAAATTTAATATTTCAAATACAAATGATGTGAAAAACTAATATACTATCTTTTTAATGCTATTAGTTTATAAACTTCACATGCATCACAGTAGCGAGATTTTTTGGTCAAAAGAGATGATTGTTCAAAAATATTATATTCGACCAAGACATTAATAGTGCAATACTAGGCAATAAGTAGACACTAAATAGAAAATAAACATAGAATGTCTCTAAATAATTAACTAATAATTTTAAACTAGATATAAAAAGATTGGCAACAGGAGTATTTATTGGTAAGAACATCCATAAAGCATTATTATTTAAATCAATAAGGATCCATATAGCAGAATGAAAATAAAATACACAAATGTCACTAGTAAGTACAAAACATATATATGTGATAAAGAGATGAAAAGTAAAGCACTTCATGCCCTAGAAACCGGTATAGGATTCTTGCACGACTTCTTGTTGTGACCACCTTTTTTGCACCGAGAACAGCGCTGCCCGGATCGAAATTCACCAGTTGAAGGTATGCGCTTCTTTTTGGGTCTACCAGGAGGGCGGGTGTCACAAGTAGGTGGCCTACATAAAACTGAACTCACATGAGCTGGAATGTGCCAATCTATCGGCGAACCAATAGGATGCATCTCTCCACTGTATGTGCTAGCCCACACCTCTCTGAAATAATAACTACATATGTAGTCATAGCATGATAAGCCCCGACGATGATTGACGGCAGCAACACCATGAACACAAATGAAACGCTCTAGTTGAAAAAAATGGCATGAACATGTCCATTCCTTCAAATTAACAACAAAGCTTCGAGAGGTTTTATCAATAACCTCAAATTCATATGCACTAGCAGGTTTCACCTAAATAAAAAGGTTGAAAACAGATTGTTATTACGAATTATTTTAAAAAAAGGTAACTAAAAAGTAAGAGGTAATGAATGTACCATCATCATTGATGACTCTGCATGGAAGGTGCGAAGCTTCATCTCAAAATGGTCAGACAGAAGTGTTCTTTTTTTTGCAGCTTCATCTCGACGATCACAGAACCATTCTTGCATCCTATCCCGCAAAAAATCTACTAACTTTGCTATTGGGTACTCACGTGGAATTCGATCCATAGAATTCATTGACTCAGCATTGTTTGATGTCATCACAGAGTACCTAGTACGCCTACTGCAACACCGTGCCCACTTCTCAAAACCAATAGCAGCCAGATAATCACGAATACGAGGATCATCAGCATCTAATAAAGATAAATACTCTTCAAGTTCAGTGCTTGTTGCAGACCTAGCTGCCTGGTTGAACTTCCATGCCAAACTTGTACCAGATCCTTTAAATTTTGTTCTTAGATTGCCTAAAATATGTTGAACACAGTAACCATGTTCAGCATGTGGAAAAACAGTTTTTGCTGCATATATAATTCCCTCATGTCGATCCGAGACAATATACAAATCAGCTCTATGATCAAGAGTCTCCTTGAGCTTATTAAAAAACCACAACCACGTATCTTTTCTTTCAGTGTCACACACACCAAAAGCCAAAGGAAAAATCTGTTGGTTCGAATCCTGAGCACATGCTGTTAGTAAAGTGCCCTTGTAATAGGACTTCATGAAGGAACCATCAATAATAAGTACTGGAAAGCAATGTTTCCAGCCATCAATCCATGCCTTTAATGACATGAAAAAGTTCTGAAAACGAGAATCGTCACCAATTCTTAGTGAGATCATTGAACCTGGATTCTTTTGGTCCAAAACATGCGCCAGCGATGGCATAAGCTGGTAAGACTCCTCATCTGAACCCATTAGTTTCCGTTGAGCCTTTAGGTTTGCAATCCATGCTTTTTTGTAAGGAACAGTTATACCATAATCTCTTTTCATGTCAACTATTATATCATTAGGAGTGTATGGCTTTCTTGATGCATCTGCATATCGGTGCTTTATGAGTTCTGCAATAATTTCAGATGTGGCTTGACGATGAATACCTTGTCTAAAATCAATGGAGCATGAATGTTCAGAATCAAACCTGAAAACACATAAGTACAGACAGTAAATAGAAACTAAGTAGCCATTAAACGGGTACAACCAGACAATAAAAGTAAAAACCAAATACATGAAACTCAGAATACATGCCACTTCTAACATAAAAACAAGTACCTTTTAATTTGGAACATACGACTCCCAGAAAGCATCACTCCACGAACAGCCCACTTGCACCCTTTTTCATCAACACAAATGACATGCAAAATTGTGCGTTTTGAGGTCTTTGTCTTGTATTGAAAATGATTTGTAATTGCATACATCTTTAAATGGAAATCCAAATCTTTTTTAGTCTTATATATAGCATCTTTGGCTATATGAGTAGGGTGGAAGTGAGAAAGAACATCTAATTCAGGAAGAACACACAAAGAATTTGCATGGGAATCAAAACTTGAAGAAGAAAACGCTGAAAAGTTGTTGCTAATCTCATGTGAATCTGCATGGGAATAGGATTGGATGTCTTCTGAGTTCATCAAAAGAGTTGGTTGCTGCACTTGTTGATTTGTGGAAGCAACATTACGTTCAGGGGAATAGGAATGAATGTTTGCTGAGTTAACCAAACCATTACGTTCGTGCACTGGTTCATCCGTGATAGAAGCATTAAGATCAAGTGGAATAAAAGTGACAGACTTATCTTTTTGCTGAAAAGTCATCAACGCTGAACTCTTTTCGGGAGATATATTGAGATCAATAGCAGAATACTCGGGACATGTATGATTATTGATGCAACCAGAGACACTAAATAACTCGACACACAAAGGAAACATAGCATAGTCTGGGTGAACTGTTTTCAAAGCCACGTAAAATTCCAAGCTACAAGGATCACTAACAACCAAAGGAGGTGGACATGAATCAACAAGGTAAGATATCTTAATCCTTGTAGTGTTAACAGATTCACCAATGCATGCATAAACAAGGGAAGTAAACTGATCATACGATGTCCCGTCAGGTAGTATTAACCCAAAGCTTCGTTTGTTAGAGAAACAGTTTGAGTTGTCCCAAGTACCATCAACTTTAAGCATAAGCAACATGATTACAGCAACTGTAGTAACATGTAAAAAGAAAGCAACAATGAAACGCAATTACATATAACTATCAGAAACTTTATGTATGCATAACAACAAAATCAATAGTAAGGATGATATATAAACAAAAGTATACAAAAAATAAACACTGTATAAGTACAAAAGGCATGAATTTATAAACTAATAGGTTGAAAATATTAATTACAACAGCAAAATCAGATTACATATGATGGAACAGAAAACCAAAGAAATTAAACATAAACACAAACTCTGCAGATAAAACATGCTGATTAACAAAACTCTGCAGATTAAGCAGACAACATAGGAACATCAAGAGAATGATCATTAACATTCAGATTAATATCACAAACAACACGATCACAAATATTACAAAGCAGCAAAAACATAAACCTACGTTGCAAACTAAAATCAGAGAAGAGAAACGCTTAAAATTGCAATTGGAAGTTCATAATGACAATTGAAGCTTCAACTTACACAAACTGACAGAGATTACATAAACGAAATTCGTTCATACATCAAAAAAACAAGTTCACGTACAAAATCATAAATTCAGTCACTAATAATTTTTACCAAAAAGGTGCAGAGAAGTTTTGGAGCTTATGAGCGCTGAAGAACGATATGTGCCGCTTGCGATCAATTCATGGAGATCGATAGAAATTGAACAAGTGAGATCAACGATTAAAAGTCGGAAGAAGTTTAGGAAACATCCGGGAGAAGAACAATGAAGAACGAGAGAAG